AGCGAGAGAATCTATGTAAACAGTCATGCAACAACACGGCAGCGATGTTATCTGTAAGGTGTGAAGCCAAAGTGTTAACCTCCTGGATGTACTGGTGAAGCTGGCTATCTGTGAAGACCTCAGTTGACGACGGTTTACCCATCTTATGAGCGATGGTGTACAGCAGCTCTTTATACAGAGGCTTCAGCTTTAAACAGAAATAAACAAAGTGAGAGCTTGGTTTGGGAAAAAACAACCACATTTATTTATGTGAAGTACAGCACATGAATGGTGATACCTCAAGCTCCTTGTGTCTCCGGGCCTTCTCTTCCGGGTTTTCATCATCCTTAAAATCCTAAAGGAGAAGAACAGAACATTTTTCTACACCATTCTGACAGAGTAATTTCAAGATATTCTGAAGTTTTAATTTGAGGCATTTGAAGGTCCAGAGTGTCGCCTACCCTCCTTTCTCTCATTTTCCTCGTCAACCCCAGTTTTCGTACATTGCCAGGCGACAACTGACAAGAGAAAAAAAGTCAGCTGGGACAAAGCACTTACTTAAAAGACCATACCGTTCACTTCACATGTTGTAGACCAGTTAGTACAGATCATTACTGTGGACTTTTGATCCCAAGCTCCAAAAAACGTTGGATTCTACATTTCCCATAATGCAACGCAATAGTGTCTTTTGGTTGACCCTTCCTGCAACAATGATACATCTTCTGTAAGACACACAGACGGAAATCACTGCTTGAAAACAGCAAGGCGCCAGCCGGCAGCTGGTGTGTTTTACCTGTCTGAGTCTTGATGAGCCATGTTCCTGGAAGACAGACGATACAGGTGCTTATGTTTAAAATACAGGGAGTGGAATCATGATGTCAAAGTGCATTGTTGAGTGAAGAAGGTATTTAAAGGTGACCTCATCCCATCATCGGCTCTTTACAATGCAAGAAACCTTAAAATACCTCCTCTTGGTTCAAGAGGGTTTTTGATTGCAGATAAGGCCTCCCTCTGTAAGGGACTTCCTCTCTTGCTAATAATGTAAGTGCCTTTGAAGCAACAACCCACCGAATATCAAACCAGGGGAATTCACCTTAAAGGAAATGACAGTCACCCATCCTACAAATAAGAATACAAATGCGCCTGTGCCCAACCACATCACACATATAACAATTTCCATAATGTTTGCATAGAGCAACCAAATTGCTGTGTGCTCATTTAACGTCACACAAACACAGTGTACACACGCCGTCTTCCGTGATAAAACTCTTCTTTCTGCATCATATGATCCAAGCATACATCCACAGCAGTTATGAATCATAGTCACAGTACCTTAAAATAGCCATTTGGAAAACATGACTCAGTGTCTCTGAGTGATTTTAACTCTGTTGTAGCCCACCCGACAAGTTTACATTTTGGGGGATTTCACAAAGAAGAAAAGAAAATGATCAGCTGAAAGCGTTACAAACTAACACTTTCAGACCAAAAGAAGTTAATGAACTAATATATTTGACAGCTTGGCCCATCACCACAGAGTCACAGAACGGTGTGGTTAGCAACTGGCAGTCAGAGAGCCAAAATGAAACAAAAATGTACTGTAATTTAGACTTATCAAAACATACAAGTGCATCGTAGTCCATACCTGTTCAGGTGTTTGCAGTAGATTGTCTCCTGTGCTGGTGGGCTCGCTTTGACTTGACATGATACTAATATTTGACAGGCTCCTGCCTGCTGTGCTCTGAGTGTGTGTGTGATATGGGGTAGCTGTGTGCTTGATGTGTTTCGATGAACTATCACACAGCAGCCGGAAGCCATCACTTCCTGTAGAAGGTGGTAACGTCAATAACTGTGACTTGTGGTGTTTTATTCATCTAGGTTCCCCCAAACATTGTGTCTGGATGCAAAATAAAGGATTATCTTATCTTGTCTCTAAAATAACAGCTGAAGCACAAACCCCGACTGTTTATCACCGTGCCTAGCTTATTGTTTTACAGTATTATCATGGATACCGTGGTGAATCTAAATCCATGGTGGAAGTCTGACACAACACATGAGGAACTGCAGCTGAATGAGGTAATGAAACAGCATGTAACATGAGACGGTCCATCTGTGGGTTGTGTATTGTTAGCCCTACCTGTGTTGCTTCAGGACGTATCCTGTCCCCTTCCTGATTTCTTATTTTTTTTGCATGTTTGTCACACTTAAATGTTTCAGATCATCAAACAAATTTAAATATTAGACAAAGATAACACAAGTAAACACAAAATGCAGTTTTTAAATGAAGGTTTTTATTATTAAGGGGGAAAAAAAATTCAAACCTACATGGCCCTGTGTGAAAAAGTGATTGCCCCCTAAATCTAATAACTGGTTGGGCCACCCTTAGCAGCAACAACTGCAATCAAGCGTTTGCGATAACTGGCAATGAGTCTTTTACAGCGCTGTAGAGGAATTTTGGCCCACTCATCTTTGCAGAATTGTGTTAATTCAGCCACATTGGAGGGTTTTCCAGCATGAACCGCCTTTTTAAGGTCATGCCACAGCATCTCAATCGGATTCTGGTCGGGACTTTGACTAGGCCACTCCAAAGTCTTCATTTTGTTTTTCTTAAACCATTCAGAGGTGGACTTGCTGGTGTGTTTTGGATCATTGTCCTGCTGCAGAACCCAAGTGCGCTTCAGCTTGAGGTCACGAACAGATGGCCAGACATTCTCCTTCAGGATTTTTTGGTAGACAGCAGAATTCATGGTTCCATTTACCACAGCAAGTCTTCCAGGTCCTGAAGCAGCAAAACAGCCCCAGACCATCACACTACCACCACCATATTTTAGTGTTGGTATGATGTTCCTTTTCTGAAATGCTGTGTTACTTTTACACCAGATGTAATGGGACATACACCTTCCAAAAAGTTCAACTTTTGTCTCGTCAGTCCACAGAGTATTTTCCCAAAAGTCTTGGGGATCATCAAGATGTTTTCTGGCAAAACTGAGACGAGCCTTTATATTCTTTTTGCTCAGCAGTGGTTTTCGTCTTGGAACTCTGCCATGCAGGCCATTTTTGCCCAGTCTCTTTCTTATGGTGGAGTCATGAACACTGACCTTAATTGAGGCAAGTGAGGCCTGCAGTTCTTTGGATGTTGTTCTGGGGTCTTTTGTGACCTCTTGGATGAGTCGTCGCTGCGCTCTTGGGGTAATTTTGGTCGGCCGGCCACTCCTGGGAAGGTTCACCACTGTTCCATGTTTTCGCCATTTGCGGATAATGGCTCTCACTGTGGTTCGCTGGAGTCCCAAAGCTTTAGAAATGGCTTTGTAACCTTTTCCAGACTGATAGATCTCAATTACTTTGTTTCTCATTTGTTCCTGAATTTCTTTGGATCGCAGCATGATGTCTAGCTTTTGAGGATCTTTTGGTCTACCTCACTTTGTCAGGCAGGTCCTATTTAAGTGATTTCTTCATTGAGAACAGGTGTGGCAGTAATCAGGCCTGGGTGTGGCTAGAGAAATTGAACTCAGCTTTCCAAAGATTTGATAAACCACAGTTAATTTATGTTTTAACAGGGGGGGGGGGCAATCACTTTTCACACAGGGCCATGTAGGTTTGGATTTTTTTCCCCCCTTAATAATAAAAACCTTAATTTAAAAACTTTTGTGCATTTTGTGTTTACTTGTGTTATCTTTGTCTAATATCTAAATTTGTTTGATGATCTGAAACATTTAAGTGTGACAAACATGCAAAAAAATAAGAAATCAGGAAGGGGGCAAACACTTTTTCACACAACTGTATATCAGTATCATCTTTTCTATGACCAATTACATATATTATACTAATTTTAATATATGTTTTGATTCTGTATAGTTCGTTTTGCTAGCTCTTACACTAACCCTTCACCATTTAAAAAAAATGTAGTGTGAGTGTATTGATGTTAAAGAATATAAATAGAGGATATACTGCAAATGTAAAGTGAGAATTCTTAGCTGTATAGAGCAGGATGTTAAATACATTTTTATGGAATCTTTATTGGAAAATGACAATAAAAAAGAAAATATTTATTTAGATTTTGGCGCCAACTAGCAACATACTGAAATGACTTGCTTTGTCTGACCATCAGTCCAAACCCACTAAATTTGACACAACTTACTTTTTTATATAATTTGACACAAAAAAAGGTCAGTTCCATTTAGTCCCACTTTGTGGTTGGGACTGTGTGTGTGTGTGTGTGTGTCAGAGAGAGAGACAAAGAGAGGGCCAGACAGACCTCCACTATTGTTTGCCAACCCACACCATGAAGTTGCATCTTCTTGCATCTTTCACAAGCATGCGGGTACTTTTGCAACCTGACCGCTCTCCTTTCCTTGACACATTCTGAGAAGAGCTGTTTCTTACTGTAAGAGGCACATGCCTTCTACTGGATATGCACTAAACATATATCAATAACTGTTATGTGCCGATATTAGTCAAACTAACAATAGATGCATTTAAACACACATACAGAATGGAAACGTTTGGTAGATACAAATGTACGCATTCAGATGCATTACGAGGAAACATTTTGTGGCATATTTTAATGTTTACATGAATTGTAAGTTAACACAGTATAATTTCTCTTTTTCCTGTTTGATTAACAGAATGTGTTACATTCAACATACTCTGAGTACAAATTACAAAGTAGTTTTAATGCATGTCACAGCCATTCATTTATGTTTATTAATGTGGGTTTAAAAAAGATCTTCTTATTTTCATTCTTCTTCTTCTTTTAATTATTTTTTATTTAACCTTTATTTATATTCCCATCCTAAACTAGTAGCAGTAGTAGTAGTCTTAACAACTGCGCAAAGAAAACATTATTTCTCACCATTAATTCAATACATTTTAAACTAACTCAATATTTATTTAATAAACCTAATGGGTACTTTTTCAGAAAAATTAAAACAAATTTTCTTTCAATAAACAACAGGCTGTAAAAAAAAACCAGGTAAACGCATTTAATTTTTAAGGACGCGTGACGTCACACGGTGGGCGTTTCACGCGAATGGCGGAAGGGCAGGTGCAACATCAGAACCGAGCAGCATTTTCACAAACAACTGTTATTACAACGCAGAGAGGAAAGCTACCGAGGCGGCAGAAAGGCCCGTAGATACGTTGTCTGGCAGAGGAACACAACCGGTCATCTTTTAGTCGTCGGAGAGTCTGGAGGCCGGTCGACATGACTCTGAACCAGAACCACTCGGAGTCCGGCGGAGTCATCATCAACAACAGTGAAAGGTAGCGGGTGCAACGGGGCTAGCTAGCGGTTACCGTTAACTACACAGACACGTTTTACGCGTCACACCATACTCATTTAAAACTAAAGACAAACATGTGTCTCTGATAACTTCATTGGAGAAGATACTTTAACGTTACATGCCAGCCAGAGGCTTGCAAATTCCACATGCATATCAAGTAACGAGAGCTAACTACTGCTAACTGTGCGCTAACTTCAGCCAAATGGCAACTTTTAGCATCGGTTAGCTTATTTGTCATACAACCTGGTGTAATTATACTTGTCATTTTAACAAAGTGCTTTATGGTACATAATCATAATTGAAGAGTGGCTTATGATCAGTGCAAAACGACACCAAACATACACACATATATGTTTAAAACGCCATGTTTGTTAACAGAATATTCGGGTTGCTTCTTACGGAACCGGGGTCTCGGACTCGTGGCCTTCAACCTGTTATAGCATCACTGCGCTCAGCTGTAGAAGGCTTCGCGTGGTTACATCCATGTTTACTTGTTGTAAACGTTACATTTAGACAAACCTGTCGAGGGTGACATGTTACTTAATCATTTTGTAACTGTGCCGGAGCATTGACTGCTGCATTGCCTCCTGTCGTCACCACCTGCACTCTGTCCCGCTCTACTATAAAACGTTTGTTTTGTTTTGCGCCGTCCAGACCAAGTCACAGCGAGTCGTTTACATGAACATCGGTGACAGATTCTTCTCGAACATAGAGGAGCGCAATGATAAACCCATTACAGCTAACCCAGAACCAGTAGTAAGCCCTGTCACTGGATGGCCTAATCCTTTTACTCTGGTTATATTTGCTGAAACCAACTCATGGGCCATGTATAGTAACTAGACAGTTGCACAATAACCCAGTGATCAAATTTGTTAAGCTGTTTAAAGTGAAAGAGTATGGTAGTGGGGTTTCAGTCATACTGTTTATCAAATACATTTTATTTATTTTTTGTACATTGAAAAAAGGATGTGATAGAAATCATTGCATCGTTGTGTCGTGTGATCCACTGATTGTGTCAATTTCTGTCCCCAGTGTGTTGATGAACTATGATAACGTGGAGCTTGTCTTCTGCGATGCGGACAGTCTGCCTGAAGCCTTCAGAAAGAGCAAGAAGGGCAGCATCTACCTAACTCCATACCGGGTGAGAGACATGACCCAGATGTCCTATCTGTAATTCAGCCACAGCCTCTTACTGCCACCGTTGACAGCTTGTACACAACAATCTGTAGAACTCTGAATCAACTAATGAGCAACATTTGGTTTAGCTTTCCCCAAGTCTTATAAGGGAGTGGGGTTCATGAGTTCAGGTGAGTGCTGAGATGATGTTAGTTGCTGTTGTTTTCTTTCAGGTGATCTTTGTGGCTAAAGGGCGGGACGCACTGCAGTCCTTCATGATGCCCTTTTACCTAATAAAGGGCTGTGAGATCAAGCAACCTGTATTGGGAGCCAACTACATCAAGGGTACCGTCAGCTCAGAGCCTGGAGGTAGGTATATGTGTTTCACTGTTAGGTTACACATGATCATGGTCTTCTGCGTCTGTTAGTCTGTTGGGCACACAGTAACTTCAGGGATTCCCTCCTTGTGTTGTCGCTTACAGGTGGCTGGGAGGGCAGTGCTATGTTCAAGCTCATCTTTGCTGCTGGAGGAGCTATAGAGTTTGGCCAGTACATGCTGCAGGTCGCAGCTCAGGGTATGCTTACAAAGCCACATTACCAGTATCTTGTATTCTTGTTATAGTGACTGACGTTTTGGCGGACTGGTCTCCATTGTTTCTTCATGTCTTGGGTTCTCTTGCTGCTTTGTTTCTTGCAGCGTCGAGAGGTCAGCCAGTGACTGCTGGGTTTGGTGGATGCCCTTACATGGCCAACGGGGCTTATGCTTACCCTCCTCCCCCTGCTAACGGGATGTACCCTGCTGGACCTCCACCCGGCTACTCCTACCCCAACCCTCCTCCACCGGGTAGGGGCTGTAATAATCGCAGCCGTTGTCATTATCACCTGGATAAAAATCTCCTTCAACTCGTGTGAGAGTGTTCAGTGTATAGCTGGTCTAATCTGCAGCTCTGTGCATCTGCTATCCAGGTGGATTCTACCCCAACCCTCCAGCGTTTGAAGCGTCTGCGGCCTACATACCTCCGCCTCCTTATTCTGCTCCTCTAGGCCAGCAGCCCCCCCACGACCCTGACCTCCCCTCCTCAGCAGCAGGTGAGGCTCCCTGGCAAAGAGTCTCTGACTCCAGTTGACTCCAGGTGTTAATGCGTTGATCAGCCAATGATCAATTCTTTTTTTAATTTCCTTTCCCCCGCTCACATTATACCACCCTTTGTACCTCAGGCTTGCTTAGCTTCAGTCATCTAATATATCCCAGGTATTGATCGTAAACTCCTCCTCTCTGTCCCAGCGGAGGCCAAAGCAGCCGAGGCAGCAGCCAGCGCCAGCGGAGCCACACTGCCTCCTACACACGTGTACCTGCCACAGGTAGGGGTCCCTCCGTCCCTCTGCTACACATCTGATGTTGCATTGATTTATCTACCACCTGGCTGAGATACTGATATTTATTATATATTGGTATGAGCTAGTGAGCATCACTCACCTTTTGCACAGTAGCTGTTGAATTGCCACTTGTTCCCTTTATAGAGTGACCAGTATTTGTTATGTTTCTCCATTTAGTTATTTAGGGTTTCCTTCAATTTCTTAACTGGCTGCATGCAGCTATTGTTAATATTTTGTCCAGTGTTTTGGTCAATATTACAGATATCGGTATTTACTTTTTGTTTCTAACTCTTCTAAGAGTTCCTCCCTTTAAGAGCTAGATTTTTAAGGGAATTTGAAAATATACCACTGAATTGTAGCTGAAACAATTAGTCAAATAACTATATAAGTATTTGGATAAACAATTAATCCTATAATGTTTCAAGCAAACAATTTTCTGTTTCCAGCTTCTAAAATGTGAGGATTTTATGAAATTTAAAGACATCACCTTAGGCTCTGGGAAATTATAGTTTTTCACTATTTTCTGACAATATTATAGACAAACCGATATATATGATATGATATATATATGATGAAAATACAATTAATGAGCAGATTACTCAATAATAAAAAGAACGCCGACACTGAATGTAGCAATACACATGCAAAGGAAACATTTTACTCTGCTGAAATTACGAATTTCTTTTATTTGCTTCAAGATAGATTCAGACGGGTTCAGCCAATCACAACAAGCACCGTCACATAAGGCAAAAGCTGCATGGCAACAACCAAAGGAGATCACCTTATTGTTTACATCTCTGGGAAGAAGTAAGGAAATACCCAGAATCACCATATTATCATAAACATCCGGACATTGAAGAGACATTGTTGTGAATTTGGCCTTTTCAGAACATAGACTGTATATCTTGTTTTTATCTTGTGGAGCTAAAAAACTGAGCACTGAAAAAGATAGTTTTCGGTGACAAAAATGTTACAAATAACTCATGAATTGAAGACACACTGTGAAAGGGTTCATTTTAAAGTTTTAAAATGAAAACACGGACAACTGCCTGACCAGACAACGCTGTGGTAATGACCTGTAGCAAGGTAGCCCCGCCCTAAAGCATACCCTGCTTTATGGTCTATTTGACTCTAAATGGACCATCATTTACTAAATGAACATCATGCTGTGTTGAAGAAGACTTGAAACTAGAGATTGACACCATAAACTCATGTTTACAATGTTTACTGAGGTAATAAATCAAGAGAGAAGTAGAGTCATTTTCTCATAGACTTCTATACAATCTGACTTCTTTTTGCAATCAGAGGAATCGCCCCCTGCTGGTCAGTAGAGAGGTTTAAGGCACTTCTGCATTGGCTTCACTTTCATGACCCAGAGGTTGCCGCCTGATTCAGAGGAAAGCAACACACTAATATGGATGAGGTGGTATCTATTGTGCATCAGGAACTACAACGTAAAGGAGTGATGCAAGGATATTTTGGGGCTTTTTTTCTGATCTTTATTCAAGAGGGTGGTCTTTCAATTTGAGAGTATGACTCATTGATTTCATGTTCAGATTTTGCAATGCTTTCCTTCAAAACCCTTTCCTCACACTCAAATAGCCTCTGCTTATGCTTACATTTGCTCTGCTTCTGCTCAAACTGTATGCTTGCACTCAGATATACTGTTGCTTGCACAGACTCGGCCCTTCTCACACTTACTCCGTGCGCTCCTATGGGTGGAAAAAAGCACGGGCTATTTGAGTGCAAGGGCAGGGTTTTGAGGGGAAGCATTACAAAATTTGAATGTAAAAATCAACGAGTCATGCCCTCAAATTGAAAGACCACCCTCTTGAATAAGATTAATTTCAAAAGGGATTTGTGGTACAGTAGCACACAATATGACAGATCATCAAATTAATCGATACTCAAGTTGTGGAGCTTCGTAGACATAGTAGGCATAACATGTGGCATTCCCTGTTTACCGCAAGGCTTATTGAATGAAGGCTGGGAAACGGTCTAAAGCTGTGCGCTATCACAAATGCGCTGTATAAGTGAAGCTGTGGTGTTGGAGGGTTCCAGCAGATGGCGCTAGAAATAAAGGGATGGCGTCCGCTCAGGTGCTTTTTGGGTGCTCTCGACCTGACGGGCCTTTTTTGCAATGCTTGAATGGATGGCGCTCAATATACAATAGAACGTTTTTAATTAGATAGATTTGTTTCTGGTCTTTTATTAAATATCTTTACAATAGTTGCAGAATTGTAATTCCCGCCCATAAAGCACCCTCTGTGGATGGCTCAGTGAAACGAATCGATCCTCGAGTTCTACAATCGAGCGCCAGCAAGTGCAGACCAGATTTCACTGAGCGTGTGTTGTCTCAAACCATAACTCTCCTCTCTCCACAGGACAAGCCTCCTCCCTACTCCCCACCAGAAGACAAGAAGAACCAGTAGACCTGCTTGATGTCACCCTCACTGCTCTCTGTCTTTTGTTATCTCTGTCCTACTGGATCACCTTGTTTTCCATTCCATTAACTGGACATCAGGAAGGCTAACGTTTTCCATTTCACCATGGATCCCTCTTTCTCATCTTCCTCATCAGTCCATGTGGTTCCACCTTTTCATTCCATTGCTTTCCCACCTCAGCCTACACCTTTTCACATTCATCTGAATTATTCCTATATTGTAATGGGTTTCATTCTCTACAGAAGCACCTTTTACTTGATGGTAATAAGAAGTATTGGTAGCGACCTTTGAGGCCAGAGTTGTCTGGATTTAGAGGCTTTTTTTTTCCTTCAATGTGGTTGACAAAAACTTTGTAACCTGATGAGCTATTTTACCATTCAACTGTCTTACAGGTGTCCCAAGAATCATACCGCCACCCTAAACTTCAGATTCAGCCGAGTTGTGACACTCACTTAGGCTTTTTCTATGACTGTCTCATTAAACTAGAATGAATCGAACAATGTTAATTACTTTGCTAGTCTATTCAGAGGCAAGCTGAATGCAGTGTTTTATTTTTCTATTATTTGTGTGTACAGGCTTTTAATATGTAGACTTTTCAAAATGAGATGTTTTCTCGAGAACACTAACCTAGAGGAAAAACGAACTTTTGTAAAGGGAGCGGATTGCAGTGCCGCCTGGTCTGCTTTGACGTGTTTCAGTGGACGAGAGGACCACAAAGATTAGAGCGGCGTCGAGCCCACGCAGTCAATCCCTGATCCTGGATTAGAGGCAGAGAGCGAGGGCGACCACACTGCCAGAAGGGATTATCTTTACAATGTGCAAGAGCAGAGCAGTTACCCAATGATGTCACTTCCTGTTTTGTCATGCCTCTGAACATTTCGAGAAAACAAATGGTCACAGACTCACCGCCAGCCTGCTTCACCTCTCATTCTTCTTATGTACATTGTAGAAACGAACATGAACATTCGATGATCTTTCTCACTGTTTCTACTTCCTGTGGTTGTGGTCTTGACTCCCCCCAGTTTGAGGTCGGTCTTTAAATCTGATCTGAGCACCTCAGTATCCGAGTCTCTCCGCTTCCATCCTCCTTAGTCACTTATCTGTATACTGTATCTGTGGCACATCCGTGGCTGATTCTTTGCACTCTCAGAATGCTATGCATCGGGCTCCTGTTCGCTCTGTCATGGCTGTGTGTATGATAATAATAATAAAGCTCTGTATTTATTTCAAACTAATTTATTGAATAATTCATGTAAAATGGCTCAAGTACGGAAAACAAAGCATGATCTCAACTCATGCATGTATGCATTGGATTTTATTAAATGGATCTTGATTCATGTGAAAACACTTTCTTTGCCTTTATTTCTACACCGAGCATTGCCAAATCACAAATTGATGGGTATTCCACTAAAAACACAGCACGGTGCATCAGCGTACTCAACAAACATATTCGAGAGTGCACCAGGGGTTATGTTTTATGCCACGAGGCTGAAACGGCATTGGAAGTGTGCTTCTTCCCTCCTCAGTCAGTAGTCCTCATCTGCGTCTCAGACAACTTGTGCAAATCCACAACAGCTTCCCAAATCCTGACTCATGATGTCCTGAGCCTCAAAGTCACAGCTATTCACTCTTAAGTGCTCATGATTTTTTTTTTTTTTTAAAAGGCCAAAGTCCATTAGAAACATTTGTACATTACAGCAGATTCCATCACAATACTTTCAGCATCAACGGTTTAAAACTGTACAGGCAGGACGAATCGTGCATTCGTGCTAAAATCCCAAGATCCCTTCTCAGCCCTGTAGTGTCAGTAGTAATGTACAGCCCACCTACGGTGCTCATGGTACAACAGAGGGCATTGTACTTTTAACGGGACAGTGTCTAATAAAATTAATTATATTCACGACACCCTGCTGTGGCTTATTGTCCCGTATGCACAACATTATGAACTGGCTCACTTTCTTCTGAGGCGGAATTCTGCCCAGAAACCAAAAAAGTTGTGAAAGGTTTGTGCACCAATGAGCAATTTTTCTTTTTTTCCCCACTTGAAGGCCAGTACTTGAACATAAAATTTTAAAAATTCAAGTATAACCAAAATTTCCAGACAGCAAGGGTGATGTATTAACTCATTCCTCAACAAATGGCTTCTAACAGCAATGCAAGAAGGTCTCTGGCTTTCTCATACTGCTATATGTGTGTGCCAGTGTAGCCCAGGCAGGATTTCATCTATTTCCATCCCCACATTAGAAGAGCAGACTTAATAAAAAAAAAAACCCGGCAGTGGTCAGTTAGAGACGCTTACACCAGGAGGAAATACACTTATTCACTTTCTGGCTGAGATAAGAGTGACTCAACTCGGTGTTTGTCAGCTTAATATAAATCTACAGCAATCAGACGTTAGCTAATCTTAGTTTAAAGACTGGAAACAGCTGGCCTTGCTCTGTCCTAACAAGTAACAAAAGTCACCAACCAGCACCTCTAAAGCTCACCGATTTTAACTCGTTGAAAAAAAAGTGTAAAAACCACAGGTTGTAGTTTTACGGAAGTTTTGTGGACTATTTATTCTACTTCCTGTAGTCTCCACTGGTTGCCAGGTAATGCGTTAATTAGACTGTTTCCAGTCTTTATGCTAAGCTAGGCTAACCGGCTACTGGCTGTAGCTTCTTTACCAAAAATCTCCCAAAAATTAACTATTTCTTCAGAGGTGACCAGAGTCGGGCACAGTACTGTACTCTCTGGTTTCTAACTAATCCCTCGATGGATTTCATAATAATGTGTATTGCCTTGCAGTGAAACAAGGAAACTCAATTTTGTGTAGTGAAAGTACAATAGTCTGACACACTGAGTTGAGGGGATTGGGCTTTTCCTTCGTGAAAGCAGACGTCTATCCTAAAATGAGGGTTATTTCATCTATGCTGTGAAGAAATGATGTATTGTCGTCCTTACAATAGAACCCTGAGGCTCTTCGGGACCAGAGTTTGAGACCAGTTCCTTAGCTGTTATTGTGTGGTAAGTAATTATGTAATAAGTCACAGCCAGGTGGACAGTTTGCGGGTAGAAGGCCGACTACAGTCAGTTCTTCTGCTTAAAACATTGTCGGAAGAAAGTTATTGTAAAGAAGGAAAAAAAGGAAAAGAAACAAAACCTCCCAAATGTTTAAGGGGGATCCTCTATGTTGAGTCTGCTAGTGCCTTTGTTTGATAGTGCTTCTCATTACTGAGGTCCCTTCTTCCCTTTTATGATTCAGCTCATGTGGAGCAGAGGGTGACGCTGACCCCCTCACCTATCCAGCAGGCGGGGAACAGCTCCCGGCTGAAGGCACAGTGGAAGGCGTGGAGCCTGGTCTGCCCGTCTCCGTAGTAGGTGAGCGTCCCCGCCTCGTAGTCCAGCAGCATGCCGATGCAGCTGTGCTGCGAGAGGCCGGCCAGAGTCTCCCGCCGGCCGTTGTGCCAGGCGCTGAGCTGATGCTGGTCCAGCTGCAGGCTCCAGGACAGCTCGTTCATACCCACCATGCACCGCTTGCCCTTCTCCTTCCTGGGGATGGTCTCGTAGGTCACCTGATGAGAAGCGGGGGGGGGGGGGAGTGAATTGTGTGCCTCACAAAGGAAGCAGACCCTGGAGGAAAAGTCAGATGATCACCTAAAGAAATGAAGTGCTACCCTGTTGTGCAGAAACACCAATATTAATGACAAAAAGGCAATGGCTGGGTCTTCCAAAACGACCACTCAGCAGATTTGTGCATGGCAGACAAGGTTCACCTGCAAAATACTTTTTTAGTAACTGTACCTCTTAACTGACTCAATTATCATTTTTTTTTAATCCTAGAAGTTTGTCAGACTTTCCCCCGTTCATCCATGACCATCAGCCAATCAAATCAAAACTACTGGCTCTAGAAAGCGGAGTAGCGTCATCTGCAAACTCCAATGTTTCCACGTGTAACTGGATGCATGTCGGGATTTTGCAAGTTCATACGATTTTCATTGCAACACTGGGCTCACACTGGACGTGATTTTTGGAGAAGCGCTGCCTGTGTCCTTTTGGTGCTCATGTAAACAATATACATAATATTAATATTAATATTAATATTTAATATTATATGTAATATTTACTGTCATTATATTTCAGAGAAGGTGGACATTTCTACGGCACACTTGGCAACTCACACCGAAACATGGCATGAATATGGCACTACGGGTAAGAGGAAAGACATGGATTTTTGATTTTGGAGGGAACCGTCCCTTTAAGATCGCGTCGTGATTCCTGTTCAACTCGGCTAGTTTTCCTGAATATCGGAGCTTTACTGAACCACTCTCAAAAGAACAGCGTACAAACACGACATGCGAGGTTCCTTACCCCGAGGTAGGCCCAGGGCTTGGACACCTCTAGCTCCCAGTAGTGCTGTCCACGAGTGAAGCCCTGAAAGCAGAGCACCTGCCACGTGTGGTCGAAGCGTGCTTCATTGGCCGGGACGGGGCGTGGCCCGGAGGTCAGGTGCTCCGCCTTCCGGTACTCCTGGGACAGAAACAGGTGCCCGTTGGCCGTGCGGGGGTCAAAGGTCAGAGCGCACCGGTCTGTTATGCGGAAGAAAGGAATGAGACGGTTTGAAGCAGGAACAGATATAACCACAGTGTTAGCATCCGTTTGTGTTTCAACTTACAAAGTCAATCTATGGTCACAGGAATAACATTGCTGTCCCCAACTTTGGCTTTTCATAATTAATATCATCCAAACACTGGAGCTTATTACCCTGCTGCGCTTCTGCAAATGAATTACATCCAGAAGAACCAGAGAATCAGGTTGATAATTAGTACTAAGGACTCACAAGCGCTGAGGCCCTCCTTCCCACCCGGGTGGCACGGAGTGGCTGGACTGGGAACCACAGCTAGCATCGGCTTCTTATCCTGAGGAGAACCTGGAGGCCAAAGACAATGTGAAGAACACAGAGCAAAGATTGGGGAACAAGCCGCTGGCAATTCAAGCTAAATTGCCACCGAGGGAAACATCGTGTTACCATCTTCGTCCGGACCCACAGCGGCGCTCACAGCTTTCTCTAGGTCCTCAAACACCAGCTTGGAGACTCGGGTAAGGACATCGGTGACACCGTTCAATCGCTCTGGAAGGTTTGGCGTTACATCTGTGGGAATATCTTTGAAACGTGGAACTTCTAGGACCATCGATTCCTGTGAAGAGATATGCATTTGAAAAGAAAGCCTCGATGATTTAGCGGTTGATGATGTTCTTCTCTCCTTATGTTAGTAGATAGGGGGCATCTCACTGTTTCAGTGCAATATAGTCATAGTGTGACATAACAGTCTTTCCATTTGAGCCAAATGGTTGCATAAAGGTACAAACCTTGATGAGATCTGTATCAGAGAGGTCATGCACCGCCGCTATCTGTCCCTGGCTCTCTCGTAGTATCTGGGAGCGCTGCTCGAGTTCAGCTAGCCGTGCCTCCGCCTCGGCGATGGCAGCTTCTTTCTGCTCCTCAATGAAGAGCTCTGTAGCCTCCTGCTTCTCAGCCAGTGTTTTAATCAGGGAGGAGAACTTGACACTGACCCAGGAAGAAGTCTGCTGAAGAGTCACCTATTGATTGGAAAGTGTAGAATCATTCCTCGAGCCTGCTTTGAGGAATTTGGCCTCATGTGGTTAACGGTGTCCAGTCCGAATTCTTTTTTTCCCAGACTTTTTTATTTATCTACAATATCAAGCTTCATCTGCAGCTGTGTCACCAAAGACCTGAACATTTCATGTTTTACTTACACGTCTTGCGGGCGTGCTATTCCTATTTAAATGTGTGTCAGACAGCAGCAGGAGGTGAGAGTCAACACCGCTTGAAAAACATTTGATTAAAAGTCACGGTGGGATCACTTTAACACACAGTAGGAGTTGGATTAAGCCTTCGACCCACTTTCACAGAGGGAACAGTTTGTGGTTTACCTTAGCTTGATTGATATTCTCAGCCAAGTCCACAATACTTTTCTGCGTCTCTTCAGTGAGTTTCCCGACCTCCGTACTCTTCCTTTCCAGCAGCAGCTGTAAAGAACACACGTCAGAGTCAGACTGGACACTTCACATAGTCACGATCACAGTGCCCTTTGATACCGCAGTAAGTCATGAATGGAACGGCAATCCATGTTACACCAGCTACACAACCGTGGTGGCATCGTGTTACTTTACCTCTTGATTTTCCCTTTCGGCCTCCAACAAGACCTTCTCGTGGTTCACGCACTGTGAGATGCCACACTCGCAGCACACAGACATTTTGTCCTGCCTGCAGTAATAAACCAGAGGCTTTTTATGGCGGTCACACAGTAGCATGGGTCTCGCCCCTTCGCCTCCCCTCATGAGCGACTCTCTGCAGGAGGGGCCGGTGCTGTTTGCAGCCTCGGTCAAGACCGACATGGACACATTACGCTTGAGGATGGGCCTGGTGGCGAACTCCTCGTTGCAGATTGGGCACCGAGGTCCGATATCGGCCTTGCTCTTGGTGTCCCAGTGAATGGTGATGCACCTTTGACAGAAGGTGTGACCGCAGGGGATGGTGACGGGGATCCGGAAACGCTCCAGGCATATGACGCAGTTCAGGGTTGAATTCTGAGACTCCATCTCTGAAGGGTGAGCAGCCATCTCTGTGAAAAAGAGAGCAGAAGGAAGAGGTTGGTCATGATGTGATAGAACTCCAACGTATAAGTGTATCATATGCGTGCACCATGACAGTAATGTAAAATAACTGTGTATTATGTCTGTAATAAGAGGTTAGTATCACATTGTAAGCCATTGATAAAGAAAGACTTTCCCAAAAGGGTTAAAAAAAACAATTTAACAGCCCCAATTGTTTGTTAGTGCCAGTTATCAGACCGTGCAGCAGCAAAGCCACGGACAAGCAGCGATACAAGGCTCAGTCCAAATGGTAACGCACATTAACTTAGCCAAATAGAAAGAAGAGCTAACGTTTGCTAACATTAGCCTGGATTCAGGTCAGTGGACGTTCGCTACTGTAGAACGTAGGGACAAATAATAATAGTCAACACATCACAACAGTCTGGTGACTTGACTGTAAATAAGCGCTCACTTTTAAGCACATCATATAAAACGACACAATATATTGTCTTACCCTCTCAACAGATAAATACATTCGTGCACGGCATTTGTGTGAATACTGAATGTCGTCAGACGAAGCTTCCCTGATGACGACAGACGCAAAAATGATGCCTTCATGTGCTGTTGGGAAAATTGAGAAACGGAGATAATTAGAGTCTAACACTAACTACATTGTTACTACCATGTAATACACGGAGATACATTGTAACACTGGTATTGTTACAGTGTTATATTTTTTACAATAACATTCGATGTCTGCTGCCATTCATTTGCTGTTTTGTAACATTGCAGATAAATCCTGTTAAAAAGTATAAAAGTAACTGATTATTATCACAAACCCAAAACTATACCGCTCTCTTTTTCATTCCAGACGATAGATGTGTGCTAAAATACAGAAAATGTAACATAATATGTTATCGTTAGTGTCTGCTAGCAGACTACGGTTTGTCAATACTACAGAAAACAAATAAAGCTACATTTGCTCGGACTCTTTTTGCTTCTCTCGGCCACCGTATCTTCCGGTGAAAAAAAGAAAAAAATCACTCCAAGATGGCGCTGCGCACAGTTTGCGTCGCTGCCCTGCGAACTGGGACAGATTTAGGGGTCAATAATGCGAGGACATTTGTCTCGACAGGTATTGTAACGACATTGCTAAATTCTATTGTGTTCACATTCCGGTATTCCTGCCCGGGCTCCATTCAGTATTGCGTGTACGACAGGTTACATTCGTTACCACGCTCTCTTCTTCTTCTGTGGAGAAAGACATTCCACTAACTTACAAATACAAATGAGACAATTGAACGTGGTGTATTGTTTTGAAAGGGAAACATAAGAACAAGATACAAAACCCAGCTCAGGAATAGGAAATGTCAGTACTGACAGGGTTACCTATCTCACATAGCGGTTACTTACTACCAACAAGAAAATAGCATCCTATTGTGTGTGCGTGTGTGAGAGAGAGGTAAACCGCCAGTGTGAACCAAACATGAAAGGTGAAGGAAGTGCTGTGTAACTAACTAACTGTTGGGGATGTGTCCACACAACAGCATTCCTCTGCAGACAGATACCAACTTTGGGTCCAATGCCTAATGACGAGATTGACGTTCAAAACCTGGAGTCAGTAGAGAAGTACCGCAGCTACACTCGTTACTTAAAACAAGCTGAGGAGGCAAAGAACCGGCCTGCCTGGTGGAAGACCTACAAGAGCTACGTGGAAAGGACTGACCCCGAGCACGGTGAGACACGAAGGAGGGACCTACTGTTGACGGTGATTCTCCAGTGGTGGGAACTTGTCAATGGCTAAACGATTGGTCAAGAATTGTATTTTGTCCCAGAGGAAACCTGTGAAATCAACAATGCAAATGAGGGTTTTGCTTTGTTTGCAGGTGCTGAGAAAGTGGACATTGGACTTCCGTACTATCGACCCGGCAGGACCAAAGAAGCGAGGGAGAGGAAGCAGGTGATGAAGGAGAACAAGAAGAACGTGGAGCTGGAGAGGGCTTGTCGTCTGCGAACTTGTAAGCTGACACACTTTCACGATACGGGGAATACCGTATCTTATCTAATTGATAAGTGAATATATTCATTAACTTATTTTCCCCATCTTTACCCCACCAGTTAAGATCCCTCTGGATCAAGTGCAGGAAAGGTGGGAGAAGAGCAGCGGTCCGTTTCATATAAAGAGACTGGCCGACCACTACGGAGTCTTCAGGGATCTCTTCCCCATGGCATATTTCCTTCCTCAAGTCTCTCTCCGGATCTGCTATAGCCAGGACAACAGTGGTCAAGTGCATTATGGGAATCGGCTAACACCAACAGAAGTACGTAAATGGACTGGAGGTTTTACAGTGCCCTAATATAGCCTGTAATTGATATTCTAAAGACCAAGGTCCCTTGAAGTTAAACTTTCTGTCTGCATCCTCCAACACGTCACCCCCTCCCTGCATTCTGTATGTCTAGGCTTCTTCTGTTCCTCAAATCGCCTTTGATGCGGAGGAGGGCTCCCTGTGGACCATTCTGCTCACCTGTCCAGGTCAGCATCAGCTACCACAGGAGGCCTTTCAGGAATGAATCAACATATTCATCGATTCTCAGCATTTACGGGCCGCCTAAAAAAAAAACATGTATCGTCTTTTTCAGATGAGCACCTTCTGGATAACGAGGCAGAATACGTCCACTGGCTAGTGTGAGTACTTAAAGTCAACTGTGCTTTAATTTGTGCAACAAAGCTTTAAAAATGTGATTATAATAATTGATGACAAACATAAATTACAGTTGCCATCAATTTACCTTTTTTTCAATTCATGCTTAATCTTGAATTTCAGTTGTAATAAAAATATAATAAGTTTATTTTTACTTCACTTGGATATTTGAGCTTCACTGTGCATAATAACGTAAGTGCTGAGTTTGAAACTAGAAGAGCGTCTTCACATTTCTCTGCTGAAGATGGGAAGTTCACTGTGCTCACCTTACATCTTACATGTGGATGTAAAAGTAGGATTTTGTGACATCACAGCTAGTTTGGAGCCAATCCTGGTCCAGTATGCAGCTGACAGTGTGATCGGAGCGATGTGGAAACTTGAAACCTCCGGTGCACAGACGCTAAGAGTGGACTTTTCAGTGAAGCAGGAGACCTCTTGTGGCCAACAGTCAAACGTTGACAGCATTTGCATATCCATTGATTTAGATTTTTTTAGAAGGAGTAAATGCAATTTAAAGAATTTTCCACAACTACCGCCTTAAACGACCTGTGTTTCTGTAGAGGGAACATACCTGGCGGAGCAGTGCAGGCCGGGGAAGAGCTGTGTCACTACATGCCCCCATTCCCTGCACGAGGAACGGGCTTCCACCGCTACATTTATGTCCTCTTCAAGCAAGACGGACCCATCAACTTCCAGGAGGAGGTCAGGCCGTCGCCATGGTGAGCTATATGAAATATAACCGCATCATTCACATATACTTGTACACTCACTGCTGCATAGGATTATAAACTGTATTGTCAAGCATACGTGTTAGTGCATGTTCTTGTATAGCATCTTAGACACTAAGCATGTGTTGGCTCTTCCCCCGTAGCCATTCTCTGGTGGATCGCTCATTTAAGACGATGGATTTCTACAGAAAGCACCAAGACAACATGACACCTGCAGGCTTGTCCTTCTTCCAGTGCCAGTGGGACGAATCTGTCACCGACACCTTTCACACCACACTCAGTGAGTCACGCTAATGCTCACAGATCAAGCGCAACTTTGGTCTTCTGACATTTTCCTTTTCTTTCTGAGTTTTTAGGACAACAAGGTTGTGTGTGCGCTTGTCTGGTAACCATAAAGCCTCTCTGCTGTACCTTCTCCCTGTAGACATGAGGGAGCCAGTGTTTGAGTTCATCCGGCCTCCAGTGTACCACCCTCCACAGGTCAAATACCCTCATCGACAGCCCCTACGCTACCTGGACAGATACAGAGATGGAAAGAAGCACAGCTATGGAATATATTGATAAGGACACACGCACTCACAGAGTGGAGAAAACACATTTCCTTGCAAATGTCACAGTTGGCTTATTTATGTTAAATAAAAATAAAGCATTTTATTCTTTTTTCCAACTGTGCTGAGATTGAATTCTGTTAAAACCTGCCAAGGAGGTTTTTTTTTCGTCCTGTTGGATGTTATGTGTGTGTTTTAGTTGGAAACTGACAACAGATATTTTGGACTTAAAGGGGAACTCCACATGTATTCACAGGTCTTGGGAGTACTACCCTTTAAAGTGAAAGATAAAATTCCTTCACTTTTACTTTTATTCGTACACCTAATAAAAATATGAGCAATGTGGCCGACACAGGTCCTTGTCTCGAATTGACTGTTTCTGCAGAGCCGACGTGATCACCAAAGAACTGCTCTTAAATGTCACTCCTACACTTCACTGTAAGTAGGGAGGATGTCACTTTACAAATGTGCCGCATTCTTCACACCAAACAAACAAACCTTTTGACTCTTAAACTGCCACTTAAGTGCAGGCTTAAGTGTAATCCTTTGAAGTGTGATACAAACAAGCCCAGGATCTAGAATCCAATTTAAAGGTTGTGAGATGGGGCATCTCTGGCAAAATTGTTCCAAGAATATTTTTAACCTTTGTTTTAAAATTTCCTGTTGTTGAAATGATAGATTTAGAGGATTATGCATCCTTGGAAGAGGGATGTGAACTTGTACTTGGACAGTGTAACCCTTCTTGATACTGAAAAGTTAAGCCAACATGCTTGCTCTTCTATATGCTGTTAAAACCCAAAACATACCAAGGTTTGTTTTTTTAAATTTTTGTTCATTCTCTTCTCATTAGGATAATTCTACAGTATTATCATAGTCAACATGTTCATGTGAATTGCCTGACTCATACATGATTGTGTACGAATGTACAGACTGAATGAGTATAACTTGTGGTTTTCATCATACAGTCCTTAAAGTATAAGATAAAAAAACAATACCACGGTATGGTAAGCTGTGAGGACAACTCAATTTAAGATTGTTACTCTGGTGCAGTCTGCATTGACAATTATAGAGGTCAAAGGTTTACCCCTTTGTCAACATTTAAATGTTGTAGTTTGGCTCCAGTCTTGAATGGATGATATATGTTTTTCAGATCACCAGATGTAACTGTGCTTACTGAGCCTACAGCTTCAAATCTTCTTGTCAGCACAAACGGGAAGAAAACCCCAAAGCTTCGCAAGCTTTCATACAAACATCACTACACATTAGTACATGGAGGTTGATGACCTAACATAAATCCCAGAATAGCTTTGTGCTCCTTCAACATTAGTAGCTCTAATCAGACACAATAACTGCAAACACCTCCGTGGGTGTGCAGGGTTATAATATGTCGTATTTTATAAGTTGACAGAACATAAAGCGCAACTCTAGTGGCATTGTGGCTCTCAACATCTATCAGGTGGATTGCTATGGAATTGGCTACATGTATCCAATGTCCAGAGGATACATTTGATTCTAATGACAGTGGCTGGCGATAGACATCTTTTTTTTTTTTTTTTTTTTATTGTGACATAAAAGTAACTAGTAACTATAGCAGATGAATACATGTAGAGTAAAAATGC